GCTTAGCATAGATTTAAATCCAATAGGAAGGCTGACGTGGTGGCTCACGCCTATAATCCCAGCACTTTGGGAGGCCAATGCGGGTGGACTGCCTGAGGTCAGGAGTTCGAGACCAGCTTGGCCAACATAGTGAAACCCCCGTCTCTACTAAAATCACAAAAAATTAGCTGGGCGTGGTGGTGGGTACCTGTAATCCCAGCTACTCGGGAGGCTGAGGCAGGAGAATCGCTTGAACCTGGGAGGCGAAGGTTGCAGCGAGCAGAGATCACACCATTTCACTGCAGCCTGGGCAACAAGAGCAAAACTCCATCTCAAAAACAAACAAACAAAAAAAAAACCAGGAAGCAGTTTGAGGGTCTTTATCGACCACCTGCTGTGTGTCCCTCCTGGCAGGCACCGAGGTGGACAGGGTGTCCCTCTCTCATGAGCCCACAGTAGTGAGGGAGGTGGACAAGGAAGCGGCCCCTGGTGAGGGCCAGGATGATGGCAAGGATGGAAGGGCCTTAAGGAAGGGACAACTCAGGTGACCGACCATCCAGGTTTATTCGGAATAAACCATCCAGGGGCTGCCAGGGGCAGGGGCTCCAGCTCTGGAACTGGGACTGTGCCAGTCAAAGTGGAATGTCCTCACTGGGGATGGACGATCTAGGGGGTCACCTTATAGGGTGGCCAGGGGAGGGGACATGATGAAGGGAGAACGAGGCTGGTGGGAAGCAGAACGGAGTGGAAGGAGAGAATCTGACACAAGGAAGAAACCGCACAGTCCATGTCAAGAACAAGATGGGGTCCTCCGGTCTACCCTGCTTCCTCTGTGCTGGGAAACTAGGGTCAGGGGAAGGAGAACGATAGCGGTACAGCCGGGGCTGGAAGCAGCTTTCTGGACACCTGGGTTGAGAGTGGCCAATCAGGATAAAGCTGTCAGGTGAAGACCCTGATGGGCCCCTGGCGAGGTCCTGGGGATGGGGAAATGGTGACATAAATCCCCCAACCAGCTGCCCTGGCATAGTTACCGTGGGAAAAGGAATTTGACATAAAATCCCATTGACCTGGGCTGGCAGGCAGTCTTAGGGTTCCAGGCAGCAGCAGCAGCTCCTTGAATGGTGGCCAGGCTGACGTGGCCTGCCAGCCTGGAGATCTGATCAGCAGCTCCGGGAAACCCTGGGTCCTGGGCCTTCCCAATCCCTCAGCTTCCACCACCCTCCCAAATCAAGTGTCATTGGAATCCGCTGCCCCCCAAAGTTTTGGGCTGGCCAGGAAGGGGCCAGTGCTCCCCAGCTGCCTGCTTCGAGGACACCACTCTCCTGCCAGGGGTTGTGTCTCCATCACTGGCTGGTGGCCCTTGCTCTCCAAGTTTGGTAGTCCACTGTCCCCAAGGAAATATTCGTCCCTAGGTGACAGCAGGGTTCTTGGAAAGTCCCAAGTCCTATAAGAGGCTGAAGTTCTGCATTTCAGCCCTGCTGCTACCATAGAGCCACGCCGCCTGCTCCTGATCCCACAGACACTGTCTCTGACGAGGTCACTCCCGGGAGCATTAAAGGTGGACTGGCAGGTCCTGCCTTGAGCCAAGGCTCTCTTCCCTGGTTGTGCCCAAGGGCTGTGGGTCCGTGGGCAGCTTCTCAACCTCTCTGAGCCTTGGTTTTCTCATTGTAAAAAGGAGATAATAAAGGCATCATGTCACAGGCTTCTTGGGAGGGCGCAAGGAGGTACTAAATGTAACATACTGAACACAGTGTTGGGCACACGAGTGCTGTCAGTGCCAGATGTCACCCCCACCCTCCTGGGCCAGTGCCCAGAGTGCTGTCTGTGATGAGGGCTAGGCTCAGCTCAGCCAGACCCAGGGGACACTGACCCAGGAATTACCATGGAAGATATTTTCGCTGTGGAGGAGCTGGGGGCCAGAAGACTCACCAGGTTCCAGGAGGCCCAAGTGGGCATTGGGAGGTCAGGGGTGCCCTGGGAAGGAGAGCCGGGTGGGGAGGGTGCCCAGCAGATTTGAACTGTCAGGCTGACCTGAGATCCTTGAATCGGGGTAAGGAGAAACCTGCTAGACATATTGTATTTACTTATTTATTGTTGAGATGAAGTCTGGCTTTACACCAGGCTGGAGTGCAGCGGCGCAATCTCCGCTGACTGCAACCCTGACTCCTGGGTTCAAATGATTCTCCTGCCTCAGCCTTCTGAGTAGCTGGGACTACAGGTGCCCACCACCACACCCAGCTAATTATTTTGTATTTTTAGTAAAGATGGGGTTTCACCATGTTGGCCAGAATGGTCTCGATCTCTTGACCTCATGATCTGCCGGCCTCGGCCTCCCAAAGTGCTGGGATTACAGGCATGAACCACTGGGACCCGCCGAAATGTTGCATTTATTAAAACATTGTTTAGAGAAGTCCAGAAGTTCTCCTGAGATCAGGAGTTCGAGGCCAGCTTGGCCAACATGGTGAAACCCCATTTCTACTGAAAATACAAAAATTAGTCAGGTGTGGCGGCAGGTGCCTGTAATCCCAGCTACTTGGGAGGCTGAGGCAGGAGAACTGCTTGAGGGAAGTGGAGGTTGCAGCGGGCCAAGATAGCGTCATTGCACGGCAGCCTGGGCGACAAGAGGGAGAGACTCCGTCTCAAAAAAAAAAAAAAAATTGTTCAGAGAAGCAGTTCCATTTACTAATTCACTCCTGGTGGCCAAAGCCTGGTTAACGTTTGGAAAAAGAAATCTTCGTGCTTTTCCCCTCTTCTGTGATTCTTGTTTTCTCTTCTATTTTCACCTGTAATATTTTTTCCTGAGTCTGACAACAATTTGGGTAGGGTATAAAAGGATTTAAAACTTAGTAAAGCAAATTACTTGCCTTTGTTAAATTGCTCTTCCTTGCTAGAGTTATATGGTTTCAGAATTTTGTTTTAGCTTATTATTTTATTTTATTATTTGAGATGGAGTCTTGCTGTTGTTGCCCAGGCTGGAGTTCAATGGCCTGATATCGACCCACCCAACCTCCTCCTCCCAGGTTCAAGCGATTCTCCTGCCTCAGCCTCCCCAGTAGCTGGGATTACAGGCATGCACCACCATAACTGGCTAATTTTGTATTTTTAGTAAAGACAGGGTTTCCCCATGTTGGTCAGGCTGGTCTCGAACTCCCGACCTCAGGTGATCTGCCCACTTTGGCCTTCCAAAGTGCTGGGATTACAGGCTTGAGCCATCCTGCCCGGCAGGTTTCAGAATTTTAGCTATGACTGCAGGGGTGGATTGCGAAAACGCTGAACAGGGTTAGAGGATTTTCTCATTTTTACTAGAAGGCTCTATCTCCTGGGGGTGGCGTGGCTGGGAACCTGGTTGGAGTTCTGAGGCTTCAGTGAGCCAGCCCCTTATCTTGCTCTGCCGGGAGGGTTGAAGGACTGGAAATACTTTTGCTTTGGGGCTGGAACCAGGGCTGCAGTTTGGGAGGCGGTGCTAATTTGGAAGAGGAGGAGGGGTCTGGTAAACATTTTAGCAGCATTGGACAGTGGGAATTAGGGAATTTAGGGCAGTGGGAAGCTGGTTCTGAGTTTTAAACTGGGAAGTGACGGATGAGAGCTGGAATTTTAGAAGTTTCTCTGTTTGGAGGTTTGGAAAAGACCCAAGTGGAAGCTAGGGAGGGGAGAAGTAGATGGATCTGAGACCTGAAGCCGTGGAGGGGAGAGCAGCAGGTGATGGGCGGGGCGTCTGGCCCGGGCGGCCAGGTGGACGGTGATGGAGATGGCCTTCATCCGAGCTGGGTTTGCTAACCTTCGACAGTCACTGCTCCATGCTCCAGGGCACCTGGCCCAAGGGATTAGGCCTCTTGGGCACACAGATCCACACGCAGCCCTGCCGGACCACACAGGGACCTTGCCTTCTCTGTGTCCTTCCTGGGAAGGGGAATTCCAGACCATCTGCCAGGCTATCGGTCCCGCCTTCCTGACCACCGCACACCTCACTGTCCCTGGACATTTTTATTTCAAATGCTCTGTCCCTTTGTTTGCACGGGTTCCTGTGTCATATTCTGTGTTCCCATTTTTAATTGGAGAATAAGAGACTGCACGCTATTCTTCCCACAGGCCTAGCTGAGCGGGTAGGGAGGCCGTGCCTACCTCCAAGGCTCTGAGAAGGGAAGCAGGAGGCGAGAACGCACAGTAGTCAAGGCCAGACGACCGGGCCTCAGCTTCTCCTTAAGCCCCGGGGTCCTCCTCTGGGGACCACCCCCTCGCACCCGGAGGTGAAAACGCCCGCCCAGGAGGAAAGGGTTGGCCCCAGAGAGCCCTGTGCGAAGCGCGTTTGCGCACTGCGGAGCGGGCGCGGGTGTCTCCAGCGCGGCTCTCCCAGTCCGCGGGGCTGGGGAGGAGCAGGTGCGCGCACCGCGGGCTCTGTGCCTGCAGAGGCGGGAAGAGCGGCCGGCCCCGCGGGGAGGCGCAGCCCGGGCTTCCGAGCTCAGTGGACGCGCAGGCTCTGGGGCTTCCAGATGGGCCGGAGTCGTCCTGCCCGCCCGGGGTGGGCGGCCACATGGGGGGCACGGCGCCCGCGCGCGGCCCCAGGTGCTTTCCAGACGCCCGGTGGCGCTCTCATCCGTACCGGCGATGATCCAGAAGGGGCCTGGTCGCCCGGCGAGGTGCCCCGGTCCGCCTCGATTCCGGGGACAACGCCAGGGACGCCACCTGCGCGGGTCCCGGAGGGCCTCTTGTCCCAGTGTGCAGGGCGTGCTCAGTCCGTGGAAACGCGAGGGCACACTAGCGCTTTCCTGTATGTATTATTATACTACTTCCATTTTTAGGAAGTGCGTTAGAAGGGCCCGCGGCAGCCGAATTCGGGGATTAAAGCTTTTAAGCGGGAAGCGCGCGCCCGGTGCTGTTCCTTTAAAGCGTTGGGCCTGCCCGAGGCTTTCTGGCCGCAGCCGCGGCCCGTAGCGCTTCTCCGAGAGGCCGGCTTTGTGCGCTCGCCCCGCCTTCGGACACCGCCCCCTCCCCTCGCGCACGCGCACTGCGCCCCCGCCGCCTGGCGCCCGCCAGAGCTGCCGCCTTGTCGCGCAGAGTCCGCGCTCCCGCCCAGGAGGCGGCCGACGCGACGTCCCGAGCGCCCGGCCCCGCCGCCGCGGCCCGGCAGGTAAGTGGGCAGCCGCCCGGCCCGGGGGGCACGAGGCGGGGAGTGGGACGGCGCCGGGAGCCCCCGCATCGTCCCCGGCCGCCGCACGTGTTCCCTGCCGGGCCTCCGGCCAGGCCCACCCCCGGCGCTGCCCCCACTGCGGCGGCCCCGCCCGGGACCCTCTCACGGGCTCGTCGGTGGACGGCCGCGCGCGCGGGCCCCTGCACCCCGCCCGCCCCCACCGGCGCCCCCACCTCCGATTCCCCCGCGGGCCGCTGACAAGGCCCGAGCGCCGGCCCTGGGGCCTCTCCCCAGGCGGCGCGCCCGGCCTCACATCGCTCCTCTCCCTGCACCTCCAGGGAAGGGCCAGACCCACGAGCCACTCAGTCCCCGGACGTGGCGCTTCCCTTCGTAGAAACGCCCCAGCCCGCTCCCGCCGCTCACCCCAACCGGAGGCAGCCAGGCTGCACCTCGCTAGGTGGGGTCCTGGGTTCGGGTCCTCGGTCCTGAACGGAGGGTCCCCCGCGCCTCCTCGCGCGGGGCCGCAGACCAGTCCTGGCCGGTGTGCGAGAGCCATCTTGAGCGGTTACGTTCCCGGACTAGACGGAGGTCCGGCTGTTACTTCCCGCTCACGACCCTCCCTGCTGTCTCGCATGCAAGTTTCCAGCCACCCAGGTCCGTTTTCCCATGTCCCGAATGCTTACGCTGTGCCCTGGGCAGGTGCCGTGCTGGCCGGTGGGGAAGACGGATGGGTAAGCGGAGGACCCAGGCCGGGAGCCCGTACAGGACCTGAGATGCGGAGCGCCGGGTTCCCGCCGCTGTCGGGCCGGCCACCTGGCTGGTGTTTGGGATGCAGATTCATTCCCGTCTGCACGCCGCAGGCCGATTCCTGGGCTCCACCTCGGGGACTCAGGGACTCCGGAATCCGCCGGTGGCATCCAACCCAGGAGCGCATACTGAGCTTTAGTTGCTGGGCTTCAGGTGGTCAGGCTTACCTGGATGAAAAGCAGCAGCTGCTAGGAGGAGCCAGGCCGCACCTGGGCGGGGGGTCAACTCCTCATCACCCTGCGTGGAACCTTCTCGGCCCCCACTTCTTCAGGGTCAAGTCTCCAACCTTCCTGTTCCCATAAAATGATTCTTCCCAGAAACTCCTGGGTGTTGTATGAAAATGCCAAGCTTTGGGCTGGGCGCGGTGGCTCACACCTATAATCCAGCACTTTGGGAGGCTGAGGCGGGCAGATTGTCTGAGCTCAGGAGTTCGAGAGCAGCCTGGGCAACATGGCAAAACCCCGTCTTTACTAAAAGTACAAAAGATTAGCCGGGTATGGTGGTGCACGCCTGTAATCCCAGCCACTCTGGAGGCTGAGCATGAAAATTGCTTGAACCTCAGAGCCGGAGGTTGTAGTGAGCCAAGATCTTGCCACTGCACTCCAGCCTGGACTCAAAAAGAAAATTCCAAGGCTAGACCCCACCACTGAGGTAGAAACTGGTTGGTGGGAAGGGTCAGGAAAGGGTATTTTAAAAGTCAGGTTTAGGTTAAGGGGTTTTTTTGTTTCTTTGTTTCCTTTTTTTTTTTTTGAGACAGAGTCTCGCTCTTGTTGCCCAGGCTGGAGTGCAATGGCGCGATCTCGGCTCACCGCAACCTCCGCCTCCTGGGTTCAGGCAATTCTCCTGCCTCAACCTCCTGAGTAGCTGGGATTACAGGCACGCGCCACCATGCCCAGCTAATTTTTTGTATTTTTAGTAGAGACGGGGTTTCACCATGTTGACCAGGTTGGTCTCGATCTCTTGACCTCGTGATCCACCCGCCTCGGCCTCCCAAAGTGCTGGGATTACAGGCGTGAGCCACCGCGCCCGGCCTTCTTTGTTTCTTTTACATGTTAATGTTTTTTGAGCCCCAGGGTGGGGTGGGGTGGGCCTGAGCTGGGAGGGGTTGAGCTCCTTATTAAGACGGCTTGTCTGCTGCGCCTTGCGGGAGGGTGTTTCAGGCATCTAGAGTCACCTGGGTGAGTAGAGGGCTGACTGGAGCTGCCTGGCCCTCTGAGCTGTCTGTTCTGCTTCTGGTCCTCTGGTGTTTCACTTGGGTAGGGCATGGCCACACTTCACTCGGCTCTTGCCCTGACTTGGCTGTCTCACACTAGGACCTTTGCAGCGGACTTCGCAGCTTTTTGCTTGGATTTCCTTAGCTCCTCCCTCTCCCTGTACTTGTCCAGCGTTCCAGGGAGAAGGCAGCAGCTGGGTTAAATTGCCATGGCCGGGTTGCACTAATGACAAGCACCACGTAGCGGGTATTTACGGAGGATTGGCTTTGTACTGGCACTTTGTACCCTGGGCAGCTCTACAGGGCGTGCCCCTCCCCTTCCCCACTCGTGTGTGTGTGTGTGTGTGTGTGTGTGTGTGTGTGTGTGTGTGTGTGTGTGTTGCGACGCTCAGGCTTTAGATGCAGCATGATCCATCCTTGCCCAGGGAATCTTTGCTGCAGGTGAAATGGATCTGTGGCCACACCTGTTCTCTGTAAAGTGGGTGTTGTAGTTTCTCTACCTTCCTCTTTCGTGAAGACTTTGAGACGTGCTCTTTTTGATGCCTTCCATTTCACTTTAAGGTTGCAAGCAGCCTTGCAAGATTTCGGTTTCAAGCTCCAAGCTAGAATGTACAGTGTGTAAGCTCGTTAGGTGGATGGCAGTGCCAGCTTCCAGGATTCTGATGGCCAGTGGTATTTGCAAGCATGTCTCAGTGGCTTTCTTTAATAATGCTATGCCTCCTTTCAGAACAATCTGTTGTGTTTTTATGAGATGTATTCAAGTAATGGATCTATTCTCTCGATAGAGGAAACTAGCTGCTTACTGGACAGATTTTGGGTAATTTTTATCGTCAAGGTGAAACCGGTTGAACTGCAGTCTTTTTTCATTCCCCTGCAGTGTCAGTCTTGCTCATAGAATATCACTGGTGTACTTGAGGCTGCTTTTCCAGAAGGCAGGATGTGGGAATTCCAGCAGGCAGAGCTGGCTCCAGCTCCTCTCTTCGCAGGGTTTTGTAGGTCCTCACTGGGGGCGAGGCCTGTGAGCTGTTAGCATTCTGGAAGGCAGCCTCGTGCCTGCAGCCTGTGCATGGAAGCACCGGAGCCCACCCTTGAGGCTCAGACCACTGGGTGCCTGCACTTGTGCCTTCAAGCACTGCTGTGAACGTGATTGCATCACTGGATGCATTTTAGGATTTGGCTGTGCTCCCAAACTTCTGTACCCTGAAGCCGTCTTCTGTCATTTGGCATGTTAGCTTACTGTCAGGAAACCTTTTGCTGTTCCTTTTATAATGTGTCCAGGGCTTTTTTTTTTTTGAGACAGTTTCACTCTTGTTGCCCAGGCTGGAGTGCAATGGCGTGATCTCGGCCCACTGCACCCTCCGCCTCCCAGTTCAAGTAATTCTCCTGCCTCAGCCTCCTGGGATTACAGGCACATGCCACCACGCCTGGCTAATTTTTTTTGTATTTTTAGTAGAGTCGGGGTTTCACCATATTGGCCAGTCTGGTCTCAAACTCCTGACCTCGTGATTTGCCTGCCTCAGCCTCCCAAAGTGCTGGGATTATAGGCCTGAACCACCATGCCCAGCCATATCCAGGGCTCTTTGAAGAAAATTGCATTTGTTTGCACAAACTGCTGCATTCCTACAGACTTCTGGATAACAAAATAGGAAGCACCCTGAGGGTGGGGTCTTTGATGATTACAAAAGTGGAATGGTTTGTTTGCTACAGGGCTCAATTGGTAGTCAAATGTTTTTCTTTAAATCCTTTTTCCTGAAAATCCACTTTTAAAAATACGGTTTGTTTCTTGGCCTTGGCCCCCTGTTCTGCGTCTTGCTCAGCAGACTGCCTCTGTCACTGGGACCCTCCATCCACATCCCCTGTGTGACCAGCGTTAGAGCCATGGCAACGGAGGAGAAGAAGCCTGAGACCGAGGCCGCCAGAGCACAGCCGACCCCTTCGTCATCTGCCACTCAGAGCAAGGTGCGTGCCCAGGAGCCCTGTGGGTGTTTTGGGGGGCAAATAACGCTTAGCGATTCTTGGAAACATTTCACACTCCTAAGTCTAGCCTTCCCTACGCAGTTAAAGGTCACTGCTAATTTTTATTTCCTGACCACATATCTAACGAATGCTTGTGACCTGCTGTGTCAGGGATCCCAAACCTGTCACCTGGAGGAGGGAGGCTTTATCAAAAATACAGATCCTTGGTCCTGATTGTAAGAGTCTCTGTAGGACCCAGAAAACATCTCTTCATAATTGCCCCCACCCTGGCTGTGACCTGACGCCCAGGCAGAGACGCCCTCTTGTAGATCTTTAGCAAAGGGAGCGGGGCCTCAGGTGTGTTTGGGGCAGGTCGGGGGTGGGGCGCGCTGGACCAAGGTCAGGGCTGGAGGGGCCTCCTGTGCTGTAGCAGGATCAGAGGTGGGTTTGAGGTGGGGTTGTGCCTTGAGGGGGCCTCAGACGTTTCTGGCTCGGCTGGTGCTGCTGGTACTGAGGTCTTAGGGGGAAGTAGTGGGCTCAGATTTAGATCTGTTCCGTTTGAAAAGTGACGCCACATAGAAATTGATGGAAGGCACTGGTCATGTGGTTTTGGACCTATAAAGATCTGAGCTGAATCCAAACTGGTCACAAGTGGAACGCATAGTGGTGGTGACTTTTTGCTGACTGATCTCTCCCAACAGCCTACACCCGTGAAGCCAAACTATGCTCTCAAGTTTACACTTGCTGGCCACACCAAAGCGGTGTCCTCCGTGAAATTCAGCCCGAATGGAGAGTGGCTGGCGAGTTCATGTACGTAGCACTGAGGCCCTCAGCTGCCGGAGGAGGCGGTCTGAGCCGCAGACCAGAAACCATGGAGGGTGGCGTGCTTCCTCACCTCCTGCTCTGGGCCTCAGCGGGGGAGGAGAAGGGGGCTGGTCACCTCTGGCACGTGGCTGCGCTGAATGGGTTTTGAGCCGTGGGGTTCATGCTGATGACCAGGGACTCGTGGGAAAAGCCCAGACTTTGGACTCTGGATGACTGGACAACCGTGGCCTGCTTCTAGCCTCAGATCCTTTTGTTTTCTTTCAGCTGCTGACAAACTCATTAAAATTTGGGGCGCATACGATGGGAAATTTGAGAAAACCATATCTGGTCACAAGCTGGTAGGTTTCAGCCCTGTGCGACGAAGTTGACTGAACAGTGTAGCTCCAGTGAGCAAGTGGTCAGGGCCGTTTTGAGAACGGTGGGTTCAGGTTTAAGTTTTTCCCCCCTTTTTTCCTCTCTTTTTTTTTTTGAGATGGAGTCTCGCTCTGTTGCCAGGCTGGAGTGTGGTGGCGGCATGATCTCAGCTCACTGCAATCTCCACCTTCTGCGTTCAGGCGATTCTCCTGCTTCAACCTCCTGAGTAGCTGGGACTACAGGCGTGTGCCACCACACCCAGCCAATTTTTGTATTTTTAGTTGAGACAGGGTTTCATCATGTCGGCCAGGATGGTCTCGATCTCTTGACCTCGTGATCCACCCTCCTTGGCCTCCCAAATATTCTATTTAACACCAAATACACTTGACTTCCCCGGATGAGTGTCTGTGGGGCTGGCAGAGCTGCAGAAAGCCTGCTGTTTTCCTCCCTTGCAGTGTGTCTTTTGTAAGGTTAATGAGTAAGAGGATTTCCCGAGGGCAATGGGGATGTTTGGGATTTTGCCCACAGGTCCTATTCTGTCCTCTTCCTGCCCAAGTTACTCTGTGCAAGTTACTGACCCTGTTTTTTCTCCCCAAGGGAATATCCGATGTAGCCTGGTCGTCAGATTCTAACCTTCTTGTTTCCGCCTCAGATGACAAAACCCTGAAGATATGGGACGTGAGTTCGGTAAGCAACACTCAGTGCTCCTCTCCAGGGAAGACTGGCTGCAGGGGCACGGGCGTCCGGGCAGGGTGGGTGGGTGGAGACTGAGTGGACTTGGGGATTAGCCAATCACTGGTGGGTGGGCGGGCATGCTCTGAGCTGTCAGGCATTGATGACTGTGATCTGATGCTGTTGTTTCCAGAAAGATCCACTGGAATAATCCCAGTAATACTCTGTTTTAGGGAAAGTGTCTAAAAACTCTGAAGGGACACAGTAATTATGTCTTTTGCTGTAACTTCAACCCCCAGTCCAACCTTATTGTCTCAGGATCCGTAAGTGTGGCCGGGTGTCTTCCCCGAGGGCGGTTGTGTCAGATGTGGGAGGGCTGGTGAATTTGGTTGTAGCAACCATGGAGAAGGCAGGTAGGCCCTGCGTCTCTTCTGTGCTGCTTGTGGGGCGGAGGGGCTGAGAGGTCTTGGGTTCTGGGGAGGCTTGTCTCCTCTCTCTTCCCTGTAAACATCACTCTAACCTCTTCTTTTTATTTAGTTTGATGAAAGTGTGAGGATATGGGATGTGAAAACAGGGAAGTGCCTCAAGACTTTGCCAGCTCACTCGGATCCAGTCTCGGCCGTAAGTTGCAGTGACACAGATGGGGTGGTGTTGGCAGTGCGTCCCTCTGACACTGGATGTGGCCAGCTGTCTCCCTGGTGGACATAAGCCTGGGTGTGGCCTGTGCCTAACTGATTCCTGCTGTTATGCCGAAGTCTAAAGCAATCAGGCTGGAGGCTGGGACCTGAGAGATGAGTCCTGTGTGCAGCGGAGGGGTGGCAAGGGGGTGGTGAAGTGTCAGTCGGGTGCCCTGTGGTGAATACCAAGGGGCCCTTCTAGCAGGCTGTTGGGGCGGTGGCTACAAGCATTCAGGGGGCAGTATACTTTGAATGGATGCATGGGACAAGAAGGGTACAGGCAGGGAAGGGCACTGGGAGTGGGAGCAGGGGTGAAGTGTGAGTTCTGAGTGGAATTAGCTTTGACTGGGTGGGCAGGGATGACCCAGTCCTATGGGAACTGTTGGAAGCTGGAACCCTCTGAAGAACAGGCTCTACACAGGGACATGTCCTGCCATTTTGCTGTTGCCATGCCACTGTGCAAAACAAATGACCAAGAGGTTGGGCGTGGTGGATTGCTTGAGGTCAGAAGTTTGATACCAGCCTGGCCAACATGGTGAAATCTCGTCTACTAAAAATAAAAAAAATTAACCAGGCAGGGTGGTGGGTGCGTGTAATCTCAGCTACTGGGGAGGCTAAGGCTGCAGCGTCTCTTCAATTCGGGAGGCGGAGGTTGCAGTGAGCTGAGAATGTGCCACTGCACTCCAGCCTTAGCAACAAATGCCCTAGAGTTAAACTACGCAGTATCATAAACTACTCCATTTCACAAAGTGGCCAGAAGGTTCTGTTAACAAAGCACATGAGGTAGTTTCAGGGCCAAGCCTGCCCTTCACTGAGAAGCAGAAGGAATGGTGGGTGCATCATTCGTCCCATGCTGCCTGCCCATGTCCCTTTCACTTCCTGTTATCTTGGCGGTGAAGGGGTTTAAGCATTTTTACCCTTGGAAGGCTTTACCCAAGTGAGATGGTGGGCAAAGCTCTGATGTGGACAGAACAGATAATGTATCAGGCTGAGGCAGGACCGCGGGCTCAGCCTCACACACAGCCAGGCCACATGGCCCTCGAAGGCCCAGAGTCACTGCTCCGGGGAGGCTGTTTGCTGTGGGGATGGCGCCATGTGGCCCTGTGCATGCCACTGTGTGCTCGCAGGCAGCCTCTTGGTGTCAGTCCCCTGTCCTCTGGGGGCACCGTGGGTCACAGCAGAGCCACTTTCAGACTGGGATTGACAAATGAGCACTTGTGAAGTCATCTGAGAAAGGGGTTCACCTGGCGGCCTTGGAGTTGGAAGAAAGAATTCTGTGAGCATCCTAGTGGCTAGAGAGCTGCATGTGGGACTCGTAGGTGATGGGTAGGATCTTTCTCCTGCGAAAGTGGTGGTGTTCATTAAGAACAAACCAAACCAGGGTGAGTGCCGTGCCTCCCACCTGTGACTCCAGCACTGTGGGAAGCTGAGGGAGGAGGATCCTTGGAGACCAGGAGTTTGAGACCAGCCTGCACAACACAGTGAGACCCCGTCTCTGTACAAAAAGCAAAAAATTAGCCAGGCAAGGTGGTGTGAGCCTGCAGTCCCAGCTACTTGGGAGGACAGGGTGGGAGGATTGCTTGGGCCTGGGAGTTTGAGGCTGCGGTGATCAAGATCACACCACTGCACTCCAGCCTGGATGAAAGAGTGAGACCTCGTATCTTAGAAAAGAAACTAAAAGGGTGAGCAAATGTAGGAGGTAGAATATCAGTCCCCTGAGCCACCTCTGGAGTCAGCTGCCAGGAGATGAAGTCTGCCCCTCTGTGGTCATCTGCTTTGTTTTTCAGGTGTGTAGTTTCCAGGGTGGCTCATTCCTGTCCTGTAAATAACTGGTACTGCACCACAGCTGCTGCTCTTCAGCTGCCTCCACTGCAGAGAGGTTTTGGGGCTTTTTTTTTTTTTTTTGAGATGGAGTCTCAATCTGTTGCGCAGGCTGGAGTGCAGTGGTACGATCTTTGCTCACTGCAGCCTCTACCTCCTGGGTTCAAGCGGTTCTCCTGACTCAGCCTCCCGAATAGCTGGGATTGATTATAGGTGCCCACTACCATGCCTGGCTAATTCTGTATTTTTAGTACATGTGGGGATTCACCACGTTGGCCAGGCTGGTCTTGATCTCCTCCCAAAGTGCTGGGATTACAGACATGAGCCGCTGCGCTGGGCCTGGGCCACTTTTGATGTCTGCGCACATCTGTGTCCTTGGACTGCTGGTGTGGGCCTGCTGTGTGAGCAGGGACTGCCTGTCACCTCTCAGTGGGTGCTTATGTGTAATGCTCACAGGCAGAGGGATCCTGTTTGCACGACTTCGGCGCATCTGAGGCAGTTTCTGCAGGATGGATTTGGAAGGGCAAATGCAGCAGTCAGGGGATGTTTAGCTTTTTCACGGGTACATTTTGGAGCCTTAGAGACTTTGAGGCATGTGGCCCCCTGCTTACTGCCCCCATCCCTGTCCTTCAATCCAGGTTTGCCCTCTCTGGCCGGGGCTCCTCGGCCGAGGGCTGCTGCTGACCCCCATCATCCACAGCCCTCACATCCTTGTTGAACCTGAGACCTGTGTTTTTCTTGCCCTTGAGCTTCTGCTAGTGCTTGTCTGCCCAAGTCGGCTCCACAGAGCACTTGGAGTGCTCCTCTGCTAGGGGTCTTGCCATCCCCAGCTGGGTTTTGACTGGTTGCCTTATCTAGTTCTTAACTATTTCTTTTTTTCTTGAGACAGGCTCTCTCTCAGTCACCTAGGCTGGAGTGCAGTGGCACGATCTTGCCTCACTGCAACCTCTGACTCATGGGTTCAAGTGATTCTCCTGTCTCAGCTTCCTGAGTAGCTGAGACTACTAACACACCCGACTAAGTTTTGTATTTTTTGTAGAGACAGGGTTTTGCCATCTTGGCCAGGCTGGTCTCCAATTCCCGGCCTCAAGTGATCCACCCGCCTCGCCCTCCCAAAGTGCTTAGGTTACAGATGTGAGCCACCGTGAGACCAAGACCGGCCTGCCTTATCTAGTTCTCCCTAGCACTTAACTTTTCTGGCAGCCTGATGCTGGAATGCAGGGGATGGGCCGTGTTGCCCTTGCGCCTCAGTGTGGGTGGGATGGCAGAGCCGGGCCCTGTTTGCCAGTGGGTAGTGTTTGGATGTGGTTAAGAAGCTGAACAAAGCAAAGCATGAAGTCGGCCTTGTGTGCTTCGGGGATTTGAGTTGACTCACTACCATCCAACGGAATGGTCTTGATAAAAGACTGTTTTGCAGATTTAAAGGCAGGGTAAATGTGGTTAGATTGATCACTGTGAGTTAGAAAAGCACTTTGAGAGGCTGCTCACCAGATGATTACAGTGGAGCAGCTGGCCCAGCAGGAGCAGCCTGTCAGCAGAAACAAGTACTCTACCCTCTGCGTCTGCTGGAGAATGTCTTCCAGGGCTGCCGTACCCACATGCCCAGCACGGAGGCTGCCAGCTGCACGGTGACCCAGAGCTGAGGGCTGTGTGAGGTACTTGAAGGTTTCATAGACCTGGTATAAAAAAAGAATATCAAGTGTCTTGTAATAACTTCTCGTGTTGATTGTGTTGAAATGATGTTTGAGATACGTTGGGTTTTGCGCTATCAAACCAGTTTCACCTGTCTTTTAAGTTTTTCTCATGTAGCTGCTAGAACAGTTATGGTGGCACGTGGCTGGCGGGCCCTTGCAGAGTCTAGCCTAGTGCTTCTCCGGGCGCAGCAGCAGGCAGCATGCCCGGCGACCTGTTCGAAATTCATGTTCTTGGGCCCCGGCCTGGACTGGTCACATCAGAAGCCCTGGGGTTGGGGCCTAGTGGTCTCCGCTGTACCTGCTTGAAAGTGCCTCTGATGCATGTGGATTTGCCTCTGGGGACATATGGCAACGTCTGGAGGCTTAAATAAAAATGATAGAAATTTATGACGAACCTCTGACTCCTGACATGGTGGATTTTGAATCCATTTGTTCTAAGATTCAGTTGGAAAAAAAGAAAGGAAAAACCCAAGGAGATCAGTTATAAGAAAGGGATTGTTGTTAGCTAGCAGTTTCTTTTTTTTAAGGAATTAACAGTCTTTATTGGGCTGAGACCAGGAGTCTGTGGGTCTTGAGGACCGCTGTGTATTGTCAGCTTTCTTCTCCAGGGCCTGTTTCTGTAGCCTCATGCGCTGTTTCTTCTACTGGTACTGGATCTTGGCTTCTCTCCTGACTTTGTATCATTTCATTTTATTACTATTAAGCCAGGGGAAATTATTTTTAACTGTAATAACCCTGTCAAGCTGTCCTCACAGCAGGGCAGATAGACAGAAGCTGCTGCTCTTTGTATGAGCCGAGTGGGACTTTGTTGGTTGTGTTTGTTTCTTTGCAACAATATATCTTGGCCCGGTGCGTTGGCTCAGGCCTGTAATCCCAGCACTTTAGGAGGCTGAGGTGGGCGGATCACAAGGTCAGGAGTTCGAGACCAGCCTGGCCAACATGGTGAAACTCCATCTCTAATAAAAATACAAACATTAGCCGGGCGTGGTGGCGGGTGCCTGTAATCCCAGCTACTCAGGAGGCTGAGGCAATCTCTTGAACCCGGGAGGTGGAGGTTGCAGTGAGCTGAGATTGTGATACTGCACTCCAGCCTGGGCGGCATCTAAAGAATAAACAAACCAAAGAACAACAACAACAAAAATAAAACAATAACAAACATCTCAGCTTTTTTTTTTTTTTTTTTTTTTTGCTCAGGTGAGAAGCAGTTGTGTCCATGCCTTGAAAGTAAGGTTTTGTTTCTTCTCCCTCCTCCATTCTTAGGTTCATTTTAATCGTGATGGATCCTTGATAGTTTCCAGTAGCTATGATGGTCTCTGGTAAGTGAAAGCATTTTACTTCATTAATTAGTGAGTACTTACTGAGGGTCAGCTCTTGTACTATTCTTGCATCTGGGGGTACAGCAGTGACAAAAGACCCAAGTCCTTAACTTCTGAAGCTTCTCTGCTGGCCACACTGCAGACACGTCAGCAGATACGCACAGCAGTTTCAGGGTTGACAGCACAGGTGATGGGGCGGTGGATGTGGCTGTCATTAGGGCGGGTCAGGGAGGGCCTCCTCCATCAGACTTCAGCTCCATGTAGACACTGACATGTGCACTTCACACGCTCATGGAGAATGGGTGTTTGAACCCCTTGAGAGGAAAGCTGTGCAGATCCAGGAGGATGTTGTGTGCTGCCGTGCCTGGTGAGGAAGTGTCACCATCCCGGGCAGGTAAACCTGAGCAGATGACAGCATAGAGAAGGGCAGGGGGAAGAGGGACGGCCGCAGCAGAAAGCGTACCTAGGTCTCAGCAGGCGTTGTTTGTAGCACTGGGACTTGGTAATCTCGGTGTCCAGCACTCCTCAGGAGACAGGGCAGTGGGGCGGCAGATGTGAACTCAGCGAAATGTCTGGTGGGAGCATGTGGCGGGAGGGGAGTGTTTAGACTGCGTTTTGGATGTGGGGTGGACAGCATCATAACTTGTTCAGATTGGTCACTAGGGAGGAGGGGGACAGTGGCAGCTACTGGCTGAATTGAAGACCTTACCAGGACTTCCTGCAGGGAACCCTCAGGTGGACACGCACACTCGAGATCGGTTTCCCAATCTGACTGCAGTGACTGTTGGCAAGGGGTCCCCAGGGGTCCCAGCTGTAGTTGCCATGCATGGTCCCTTCATCGGTCTTGAGTAGACGGGTCTGGTGGGTCTGGTGGGAGAGGGTCAGAGTCAGAGCTGCACCTGACCCCCAGCCTTCCCATGGGCCCTACAGCGCACACTTCCCGGCCATTACCTTGCCAGGCTCAAGCTGCAGTCCAGCACTGATGGCGTTTGGGGCGGAGGTCACTGGGATGTGCTGTGGCAAAAATGAAGTCACCTGGAGCCCCACATTGGCTCGTAGCGGCCATGGTTAAAGCCATGGATTACACTTGACCGTTTAGCAGCTTGTTATAAGGGGTACAATTTGGGAACAGCCAGAGGGAAGGGGCATACAGGGAGAACTATGGAGGAGCATGGAGCTGCCAGGGCCTCTCTGGTGCCACCCTCCCGGCCCCTCCGTGTGTGTGTGTCACCAACAGGCAAGTGAGCACAGACAGTCTCAGAGTTACTCATGGACCCAGCTCTAAGAACTTTTTAAAGAAATCGGAAGTATGCCAAGGAAATCAGGGAAATGGGAACAAATGAGGACACTGATGAAATCAGGTGTATTCTTTGATGAGACTGGCGGTTAAGACCTTTTACGCCCATGATGTAAAAAGCAAAATAAACCTGATTAGAAATAGGAAGTGGGTGGAAACACTGCAGGAGGAGGAAGCAGGAGGAAGAAGCTCGTCCAGGCTGAGTGCCTCAGGCTGCAGCAGCAAGGCTCGTCCACATTCTAAAGGGACCCAAGGCATGGCATCTGGAGGGACCAGCCACTGCCGAAGAGGCCGGAAAAAGGGATTGAAGGCCTAAAAATAACATCGTTCCCTGTGACCTTATACTCGAATCCAGTTAAATATCGAACTGCTAAGCTTATCCAAACTTTTCCAGATCACAGACAGGATGGAGCTCCCTGGTTCATTTCTTTGGGTTTAGCATGACCTCGCTACCTAAGCTTTGATTACTGGTCCCAAAGGAAAACCAGAGAGGGCAACTCACTAGTGAATACTGCTGCCAGGGTTCCAGAGGAAGTAGTAGGCCTCTGAGCCTCATGCACAAAAAGGAATTTCCACAGCCAAGTAGTTCAGTATTCATTATTAAGTAATGAAAGGGTTATAACACAGACATCAGGAAACCCATTATCTAGTTGTACCAACAGATGAATGGTGTTAAAGGTCCCTGTGAGTAGAGGTCCACCCTTTAGCAAGATAGACCAGTATTGTTGACTACTTGCTGGTAACTAGTAATTTTCATCATATATGGTGACACACTAAAACTATTTCTGTGAAAATCAGAAGCGAGACAGGCATGCCTGTTTCCTGTGGTACTCAGCATTGTTGGGAGTTTCTAGCTAATGTAAGAAAATGAAAATAATAGTCGTATGAAAATTGAATAGAGATACACATTTTTGTAGATATGGGCCGGGTGCAGTGGCTCACACCTATAATCCTAGCACTTTGTAAGGACAAGGTGGGTAGATAATATGGTCAGGAGTTCGAAACCAGCCTGGCTAGCATGGTGAAACCCTGTCTCTACCAGAAATACAAAAATCAGCCGGGCATGTAGTCCTAGCTACTCTGGAGGCTGGGGGAGGAGAATCACTTGAACCTGGGAGGTGGAGTTTTTTGTGAGCTGAGGTCCTACCACTGCATTCCAGCCTGGACCACAGAGCAAGATTCCATCTTAAAAAAAAAATAAAAAAAATTTAGAAGCCACCGACATGGTGCTTTTCAAACATTTAACCCTCTGTCATGGGCACTGTCAGCCTTGCTTTTGAGGCAGGGACACACGTCCCTCAGTTGGTGAGCATAGGACCCAGACCCCGCGTCAGCTCTGGAGTCCGGGCCTGGAACCCCAGCCTGCTGGCTACATGGTGTGATCTCGCCTTTAGTGCCATCAGGGCTTGAAAATGGACTGTTTGTCTTTATACTGGGAATTGCCAGTTAGAAGATGGGGAAAATGTTCCCAGTTTAACAGTGACAAAAATGCTAAGATGTTTAGGAATGCAGCCACTGAGAAAGAGCAGGACTTGTGGAGGACACGAGAAGTGGAACCGAGGTTAGGAGACCAGGCCCTCGTGGCCCGGGCAGCTCCTGGAGAGGCCCTGTGGGTGCTTATGGAGCTGGAGGCAGTGAATTGAAGATCCACGGGATGCAGGACGGCACTTGCTGAGAGAACTGAGAAGATGCAGAGTTGGGAGGAGAGTTGCCGCTCTGGGTTTTAACACCCTGAAGCGGCTGAGGTCCAGTGTGGTCTGGTCCCGGATAACTGAAGTGTGGGCGGAACAGGATGGGGGTGTGCAGAGTGGGGTGCACTGGGGCCCCGCAGAGGCCGGCTTATCCATGGGTGAGAGATGGAGGGATCGTGCATGGCGGCCATGGAGTCTTGGGCTTGAGGAACAGCTTGTCCACGTCTGTCCCAAGCCTGTGCCCTGCTGGCATCCGTGCGGTGGAAGTGTGGGTGCTAACGGCAGGCTCTGCTTCCAGAATGTGTCTGTATGGGCAGAAATCACAGAAACCCTGGAACTGGAACAGTGTAAACGCCTGGCCCACCCCTTCTGGGAGTATTCCAGAAGACCGCTTACAGTACTCTTACATTTTTATTTAACAGAAAGCCCCCCTCCCTGCTTGCATGTGTGTGGCAGGAGAAGCCCTGGGCTGTGGCGCCCTTCTCCTTGGCCAGGGAGGTGGAGAGAGCGACAGGCTTCCCCTGTGTTGGGGTAAAGCACGGCTTGGGGAGAGCTCCAGTGGTCCCCACACACGGTCTGTGCGTGTGTGGCGTGTGTGGCCTGTTTCTGTTTGTGTGTATAGTGCTTAGTCTTTGTCCCTAGAATAGAAGAGAATGACTGTTAAATGGGTGAAGCGTAACTTTTAAAAAAAACACATCAGGAAAGGCGTGCTTGGCCTGAAACTGCGATCTGATTTCCAGCAGCCGTCCGTGATCCTAACTTGCCTGCTTACACTTCTTTGTTCTCTTTGCTTTGAAGTCGCATCTGGGACACCGCCTCTGGCCAGTGCCTGAAGACACTCATCGGTGAGTGGGGCTCTTGCCCCGCTGTGTTCCCTGCCCCTGGTCCTCACTAGCTCATCCTCCTCCCTCTGCCCTGGGCCTGCCCCTGCGGGAGGAACCTTCCTCCTTGTCCGACCCTTCCCGCCAGCTCCTTCTGACCGCTTGGTGGCTCTGTTGCTCCTTCGAGTGAAATGTTCCTGCCGTGGCCTTTCTTCTCTTGGGCCAGTCTGGGGCTCTTCAGCCTGTGTTGTTGGGCCTCACCCTGGCCACTCACTGGCGTCCTCTGGGCACCCCCATCGCCTCCTGGCTTCAGGCCACTGCTCGGATTGTTCCTTGAGTAGGCGGGGCTGAAGAGTAGGCGGGGCTGAGCGCCTGCCCTGATACACACCCATCTGCTGCCGGTGCTGCCGAGATGGATGGAGGTGCCCCAGAGGCACAGAGGACCCCACACCTGGGGGAGGAGGGGAAGGAGGGACATGGCGTGGCTTGGATGGGAAGGCCGGCTGCCAGGCAGGGTGTAGCCAGAGGGTCTGTGATGGCCTGGGGTTTCAGCTGCCCTTGCAGGGCCTGCAGGAGGGGGTGGAAGGGTTTTCATCCTGGGGGTGTTCATTTTTGAGAGGCCTAGGTTAGAAGCTTGGGATGGGCTGCCCCTTGAGGGGGGAGCTGGGTGGCGAGGATGGGGGGTGGACCCACGTGTGGGGAGGTGCCCCTTTTGCGCTCTTCTTCCCCTGCTCCCCCGGTCCTGTCTGTCGTAGCCTGCTGGGCCGGCTGAGACCAAGCACCATAGACTGGGAGGTTTTCAGCGGCAGAAATGTGTTTCCCCAGAGTTCTGGAGGCTTTAGGAGGCCTCTCCTTGGCTTAGAGATGCTGCCTTGCCCTGACTTCACACTGGTGTCCCTGGTGCTTCCATATGTCCAAATGTCCTGTTGTAAGGATACCACCCTATGGGCCTCATTTTCACTTTGTCACCTCTGAGGCTCTGGAGGCCTGGACTTCAGCGTGAGTTCCCTCACTGGGGTGGTCTTTGTAGCTTCCTGCCTTGTGGGGCCAGCCTTTGGCCATGCATCCCTCCTGAGCAAGATCACACTGTCCCTGGTGTCCCCTGCCCGGGCCACCTGTGCTCAGCTATGTGCTTCACTGTCGTGTGAGTGCACATGACCCTCACGGCCACCCTGAGGGTAGGGGTGTCTTCCTCCTGCAGAGAGGCTCATTCACTAGCCCAGAGCTCCACAGCAAGCAGGTGCAGGGACCAGGATTCGTGCCTAGGCACAGGTGGTTTTGTGTGCCCCTAAGCCAAGGGCGGGGGATGGAGGGGTCGCTGTGTAGCAGTTTTTCCATCAACGTCTCCTCAGGTCTAGCGAGTTAGACCGTCGAAGGACTGAGGCAGGTGGGCTGATGCGTTCTCCGTGATGCTCTGTCTAGGCAGCCTGGGTTAGGCATGTTGGGCACTTGCCATCAGCTGCATTAAGGGAGCCTGGCCCCCCGGCCTTTGCTGTGACCTCGGCTTGCCTGGCTGTGTGTTGCAGTGTGGCCCTGCATGGCCTCACAGCGCCTCCCGTGCCTTTTCAGTGTGTGTGACCGGGCTGAGGGAGCGCAGAAGGCGGGTGCCTGGCGAGGCCGGGCGTCCCCATGGTGGTAATGCCGAGGGCCGCGTCCTCCCCGGTGCTCGGGACACACCAGTGCCTGCACACGCGCGGGGGCTCTGACAGGGCCCAGGGATGGGGCCTACACCGGGGCACACTTTCCTTGGGATTCCCTTCTCACCCAGGTGAGGGGAAACGCCTTCCTCCCGTTGTGAGGGCTCTGGGGTTGTCACCTCCTGGAAACTCTGACTTTTTCAGCTCTGTGAGAAAGAACAGCCCTGCTCTGTCCCCAGGGCTGTGGGTCCAGCTGATAGGCCTGAGCATTAGCTGTGGGTGTGCAGCAAACAGGTTGGTCTTGCGGGCACGAATGCCCCTTGCTTCAGTGACTTCTTAAAGGAGAATTTCCGAGGCTGCTGGTGGAGTCATCCTGTGTTGAGCTGTGGATTCTCCAATCACTTCCATTCCCTGTGAGGCAGGCGATGCGTGAGAGTGCCCACGGCCCAGTGCCCGAGGAGGCCTGTGTTTCTAAAGTCCTGGTGTCGAGGGACCCCCAGAGCATGGGTTTGTGGTGTCAGGAACCTGCTCACGGCTGGTGCGAGGCGGCTAGGCCACCCTTTGGGGCGCCGAGGGGTGGTGCTGCTGGCACAGGTGGTGGCAGCCTCACTAAGATGTCATGCATGGGTGACGGGGAGCGGACACCTCCTGTTCCTGCCCACTTGTCGGTGCCCGCCCTGTGTCACCTGTCTGTTTTTATTGCAGATGATGACAACCCCCCAGTGTCTTTTGTGAAGTTCTCCCCGAACGGCAAATACATCCTGGCGGCCACGCTGGACAAGTGAGTGCTGCATGGGGCCGTGGGGATGGGCGGGTGGCCTCCCCAACCAGAGACGCCAGTGCGAGCCTTCGGAGAGCACGTTGTGGGCTTGGTACGGGGTCCAGGCTCCTGCTGGAGCTTCAGCTTCTGGGGAGTGGGCTGTTAGGCGGGAGGGCAGGCCCCTGCCCGTCCTTTCCTGAGGCTGAATCTTAGGTCCAACTGAAGGAGGAACTGGGGTCAGTTTTCTGGCTGAGCGACTATGTGGCCGTGGCCTGGGCAGGCTGGGGGCCGCCAAGGCTGTTTCTGGTTCTGACCTCTGAGCGCCTTGATCTTACCTCTCAAAAAGCCAACGCCCTCCTGGGCTGTTCCTTCCCATGTGCGCACATTCAGCCCTGTGGCTCCCAGCCTTGGCCCCAGTCCTCTGAGGACTGTGTGGTTGGGTGGTAAAACCTGTTCTGGATGTTTCCAGAATCAAGAGAACTTCCTCACCCCTTTGAGGATGACCAAGTCAGGGATGATAGCACCCATCAGCTTCCTGTTAAAGTCTCTCTTGGAACCACAAATACTTGAGGCTCTCAGGCCATCAAGTCGCTGGACTTCGGGCCTGAGGGGCTCCTCACCCTGAAGGAGAAGGGGGTTCCACCCCTGCTGCTTTGCAGCTGGCAGTGATGGTGGCCGTGACATAGAGGCTGCAGAGCTGGGTGTGGGGACAGAAGGGCTGCGTCTGGACATGCCCCTCACCCCTCTTTCTGTCTTGCAGCACTCTGAAGCTCTGGGACTACAGCAAGGGGAAGGTGAGCTCCTGCCTGCTTGGGCCCAAGTTGGGCACCGTCCCTGGGTCATAGCCTCTGGCAGGGACAGAGCTGGCCCTCGTGATGACAAAGGAGGGGAGCTCAGAGAGCCATCTCCACTGGGGTTTGGTGCGGATTCTTGAAAGACTTGGGTATTTGTAGGGTGGCAGTCTGCGTTTTAAAGCTTTGATCGTGTGGGTTTTGTGCTTGTACATATAATATTTGTGTGCTTTTCAGAACTAAGTGTAGTCAGTGTTTTATAAAACACTTTGCTTAGAATGTAGAATCACCCCAAATCAAGGGGAACCACGACTCTGACCAGCCTGTCCCCTGCTGTTTCAGTGCCTCAAGACGTACACTGGGCACAAGAATGAGAAATACTGCATATTTGCCAATTTCTCTGTTACTGGCGGGAAGGTGAGTCTCCCATAACCGAGAAGCGTCTTGCCCGTTCGTTCCCAGCTTCCTCACCCGAGAGGTCACGCCTAGTTCAGGTTGCATTCTTCTCAAGGATGTTTTTCTGCACCCACAAAACGAATTTCCTGTGTTTGAATGAACCAAAGTGTACTGCGCCGGGTACTGCGGACACCCTGTCCCGCTCGCTTCTGGGTCCATCTCCCTCACAGAGGCAGGCAGCCTGCTGTCGGGCGCTGCTGGCAGTGCTTAGCTGATACCTTCCAAGGGAGCAGGGACCCGGCAGGTGGAGCTCTGTGCACTCAGGGTGTCCCTGGGTGGATGCGCTGGCTCCGAGGCTGTCGCCACCCACCCCAACAGAGAGGGGAGTGTGTTTTCCTGACACCCACCCTGGTCTCGATGCTGCTGTCTTAGACCAGGAGAGATTCTCAGCAGCACACACAGACTCAGAATAGGGCAACCCGAAAAAACATCTTCCAGACTGGAAGCCTCCCCTGGGGCAGGCAGGCACCCGGGTTCTCGGAATGAGGCCACTGGTGGGGTAGAGCAGGCGGAGCTGGCTCCCCTTGGAGAGGAAGCCTCATGCCTGGCGGGGGTGCGGGCAGGGCTTTTTTGGTTGGGTTCAGTGCTGCAACCACCTGCGGGCTGGGCTTGGGGCAGGGTATAACCGGAGACTGTCCCTTCTGCACGCACGCGCTCTGACCTTTTCCTCGCCCTGACTGCCCTGCTTGTCCTTACCTAGTGGATTGTGTCTGGCTCGGAGGATAACCTTGTTTACATCTGGAACCTTCAGACGAAAGAGATTGTACAGAAATTACAAGGCCACACAGGTGAGCGCGCCTGTTTGTTTGGGGACAGTTCCCGCAAGTGAAGCGTGGTCTGCTTGGGTGCTGTCTGCCCTCTTCTTCCTCTGGCCCCATTTAGGAGCCGCTGCTAAGAGCTCTTGCCCAAGGCACAGAGCTGGTCAGGGCCACTGGCGACTCAGACCCAGGGCTCCTGGCTTGAACCCTGTTTCTTCCCGTTCTGCCAGGCATTCTGGTCTGGAAGTGTGTGTGGCTCTGGGACTTGAGGTGGTGCAGCCTGTCCCACTGCACGGCCAGCTCTGTTTCCTGGGCCGAGGACAGTGAGGTCATCGCTGCCCCATTCTAGAGGCTCTGTTTCCTTTCAGGGATACCTGTTCCTCTCCCAGAGAGACCCCGGCTGCTCACAGCCAAGTGGGCCCCGTGGCAGTGCCAGTTCCCAAGCCACCTAGGTCGCTCCCTCCCCAGTCCCGGCTGCCCCCTCACTCACCCTCTGGCCCCTGCATTTCCATGTCTCATCGGGCCAGTGACAGCAGGGGTGTGGCGCCCCTTTGGAAATCTGGGGCGGCACTTCTCCCTCCGTGCGAGTAGCTTCACCCAGCCTGCGAGTGTGCCGCCCAACGTCAGCTCTCAGCTCCACAACGGGCCTGGGCCTTCCCCCGTGTCCTTGCCGGCATTCTGGGGTTTGTTTGGTTTACGTAGGAACTGTAAACCCTTTGATGTGGCTGACCTTGCACCAGCCTGTTAGATCTGACTGCCCCACTTTGGGGGTGGACATGTCCTTGCTGTGACAGAGCCAGCCCTGAGGGGACACTCTGGGGCTCAGCAGTAGTGGGAGGCGGTGAGAGTGGGCAGCTCAGGGTCCTGAGTGAAAGAGGATGTGGTCGACAAAGGACCGAGGACCGCGAGGGACGGTCTGACTGGGGTCCCCGCACGCCGGCCTCTTACCAGTCTTACTGCCACGTTCCTCCCTGTGGGTGCCGAGCTGCTGCTGCTGCTGGGGACGTGGGGGAGTCCTGCTCTACAGGCGGGGTGGCTCTCCCTGCTGCCCTCCGCCCACCCTCCGCCCTCCCCGCTATGTCACCCTGGTACCAGCCGCCGTTCCCTCGCCCCCCTCTCCTGGGCTCCCTGTGTTGACGGTAGGCAGCAGGTGCTCGCACTGAGACCTCCCCGGGTGGTGTGCAGGCGCTACCAGCGTTTCTGGGGGACAGTGGAGCTCAGTCTGAGATGGTACCCACAACCCACGGCACAGGGACAGCTCGTTTCTGACTGTGTCTTTGTTTTCAGATGTTGTGATTTCAACAGCTTGTCACCCAACAGAAAATATCATTGCCTCTGCTGCACTAGAAAATGACAAAACAATTAAACTGTGGAAGAGTGACTGCTAAGTCCCTTTGCTTCCGCGAGAGAGACTGTCAGGAAGTTGACCCGGATTGGCAAGAAACATGGTGTCTCAGAGCTGGTCCCCTGGGTCTGCGCCTGGGTCAGGACGGGGCTGGATGTGAGCCTCCTCTTGGAAGATGATTTGGCTGAGCGGAAGGTGTAGAGCACCGGAAGGTTCTAAAAGTTGCTGGTGACATTTCTTGCCAATTCTTCTAACACTGTCTAGGGAAAAGTTCCTAGCCTGTTGTGTGCAAAACAGTCAACACAAGTTTTTAATTTTTTATTACAAAAGGGTAAAGTTCAATTTATCATGCGTTGTGTTTTTTCAGTAAACATTCTGTATCTTTTTGATATTCATGACCCAGTGCACGTGTGGCTGGTCACCGCCACTGTGGCCCCGACAGCCGGCCGCCCCCCTTCTCTGCTGTGTAGCCGCCCCGGGCTGCGGCCCTGACTCCTGTCCCTGCCATAGCTGTTCCTGGTGTCCGCGTCTTTCTGGAAAGCACAGCGTCGTGTGGTGGTTTTCTGTGTAAAGAGCCTTTTGTGGCCCACGCACGGCAGCACGGTCATTGCACACGGCGCTTCTGTCTCACCAGTGTCCCTGCAACAAGAGCACCACAGACTAATAAAAAGGTGGGGTTTTGTGGACAGTTGTGGGAAATGCGTCCTTGTGCAGCGTGTCACTACGTGGCCGTCTTGGAGAAATGCTCCCTTTCCTTCTCTGGGAAGGAAAGGAGGCGCCCTGGCTGGCCGCCCCTGCCGTCTGAAGACGCCTCCCCTGTAGCCTGTGCTCAGTGTTGCTGGGGAAGGGGCAGGGTTGGCGGCTCTTAGTCACAAAGGAGCCAAGCTCCTGATGGGCTCCTGTTGGGATGTTGGGCACACCTGTGGCATGGGAAGGCTCCAGGTCAGATGCCAGTGGGACTAACGTGCCTCATGAGGGCCGCAGAGCCAGCGCTGCCCCACGGCTTCCCATCTCCCGGCAGCCCCAGGAGCGGCTCCTCAAGGGATTGGGTGCTAAGCGGGAGCCTCGCCATCCCAGCCGTCACCCACTGGAGCCCTCGACCGCCCGCCCGCCTCTGCTCCTGGCCGCGCGGCTTCCCGGTGCCCATCTGCACAACGGTTTACAGCGGAGGCTGAAACCTGAGCCTGTCTGTGGAGACCTTTGTGGTGGGGGCTGCCATGCATGGTGAGGGCAGAGCGGGTGGCCAAGGGCACAGGTGCCTAGGTCTGTCCCATGGGGCAGGGCTTTGGGGCAGGGTGGTCTGTGGTGCTCCAGGAAGCCAGCCCGGGTCCTGGGTCTGCAAATGGCCCTGGCCCCAGAGCCCAGCCAGCTCTGCCTCTGTCAGGCTGGAGTTCTGAGTGAGTCCTCCAGGTTTGCGGTTGCACCGGCCCAGGGAGGAGGTGGGGGCTTGTCAGGTGGGCTCTCCTGGGGGTCCTCTAGTGGCAGAGGTGACGGGGGGATTACCTGGGCATCTGGAGATGCCTGTCCCACGGTCTCCCTTGCCCCTCTGTTTCTGATGAGGCGTACAGATGAGGGACCTGGGCTAAGACGTGAGCTGCCACAATGAAATGGTTTGATTTTTGTCTTTGACGCTCAGGGTCTGGGCACCCCGCATTTGCCGCCTGTTGTGACAGACTTGGGGAGCTCAGCCTGCAGGTGCCCTGCTGTGGGGCACCCCAGGGGCAGTGGGGCTCCTGCAATCTCGTTCTGGGAGGAAGAGCCCACTCCGGGGAGGGCTGTGCTGTGCTGAGTGCTGTATCCCTGAATATAGTTTATTTTTTCTACCTTTGAATTCTGTTGTAGATTTATGTAAAAATACATTCTTTTTGAAAATAAAAATTTTCATGTCTTCTAATTTTGTCCTGTGAGAATTTCTTAAAACGTAGCTGTCGGTGGGGTGGGAGGGCAGCCACCCTGTGGCTTTGTCCCTGGCGGTGGGGTGGCATCTGGTGTGCCAGCTTGCCCCGCGGACAGTCCTTAGGGTTTTTACAGTAGCCTTAGGAACGTCATCTGTTTCTGCTAATAATGTCCATGTTTTGTATTGATGTTCAGCTCTTCGTATATACCTGTGTGCTAATTATTGACAGTGGTAGGCAGGTAGGCAGAGTCGAAGGGAGCTCCTCCAAAGTCCTGCTGCCACCACCGTGCTGGGGAGGCTCTTCTAGGGCATGCGCTACCAGCAGGAGCTTGCAGATGTACAGAGGGCGGCGCCCCCAGGTTCCTGTTGCTGCCACAGGGACTCACCACTGTTCCATGGCTGCTCCCGTCATTGTACAAATCCCAGACGTTTCACCATGTAAGTGGTGAACACGTGGTATCTCAGAGATAATCCTCCAGAAGCGTTATTACCAAAATGCCATTTTCATGCCAAAAAGACCCCCCACCCTCTTTATTTTTGAGATGGGGTCTTGCTCTGTTGCCCAGGCTGGAATACTGCGGTGTGTTCACAACTCACTGTAGCCTCAACCTCTTGGGCACAAGTGATCCTCCCGCTTCAGCCTCCCAAGTAGCTGGGACCACAGGCACATGATGCCAAGCCTGGCTAATTGTTTTGTTATTTTAATTATTCACAGGCTAGCAAATTTTTTAATTTTTAATTTTGCAGAGAGGGTTTCTACGGTGCCTACGCTGGTCTCAAATGCCTGGACTCAGCTGTCCTCCCACTTCCGCCTTCCAAAGTGCTGGGATTACGGGCATGAGCCATTGTACCTAGCCCCCTAAGATTCTTTACTATCTGATGTTCAGATTTCTCCTGTTGTCTTAGTATGTTTAGTAAAAGCATGTCCCTGCATGTGCACACATGTACATCTCGCATGTGTACACATGTATACATGCATGTGCACACCTGCACATGGGTGCACATAAGTACGTTTGTCTATGTGCAGCGAATCACAGCATGTGTATGTACATGTAGATGTACCTGTGAGGGTACGTGTGTGCATAGGGTATGTATGTGCACATGCACAAATGCATGTGCTGGACAGGTGTATGCCTGTGTATACACACGATTGGAACTGGATCCAAACAGGGTCTTCACCTGCATCTGGTTTACCTCAAGCCTCTATTTTTTTTTTTTTTTTTTTTTGAGATGTCTCGCTCTGTCGCCCAGGCTGGGCTGCAGTGGTGTGACCTCGGCACGCTACACCCACCTCCCAGGTTCAAATGATTCTCCTGCCTCAGCCTCCCGAGGAGCTGGGAACTACAGGCACCCATTCACCATGCCTGGCTAATTTTTTGCATTTTTAGTAGAGATACGGTTTCACCATATTGCCAGGCTGGTTTCCAACTCCTGACCTCAAGTTCTCTGCCTGCCTTGGCTTCCCAAAGTGCCGGGATTACAGGTGTGAGCCACCGTGCCCGGCCCCTCTTTAAATCGCCAAGTCCTCCCTTTTTTTTGTACCATGTATCCCTTGAAACCAGGTCGTTTATCTTGTGCCTCCTGATTTTGCTGAGTGCGTCTCTGTGGGGCTGTTCAGCATCTTCCTGTCTCCTATAACCTGGCAGTGGGGGTGGCAGCCGGCCACGCCTCCTGCTTGATTCGGGACATGGCGGGTGATGCTGTGTGCATGTTCAATGAGCTGACTCATCAGCAGATTGCTTTTATTTAATAAACATCTGTCCAGTCCTTACTCAAGTCCTATGTTTAAAAACCTACAGGAGTTTAAGCCAGGTGCTGTGGCTCACGCTTGTAATCCCAGCACTTAGGGAGGCCGAGGCAGGTGGATCATGAGGTCAGGAGTTGGAGACCAGCCTGGCCAACATGGTGAAACTCCACCTCCACTAAAAATACAAAAAATTAGCCGGGTGTGGTCGCGGACGCCTGTAATCCCAGCCACTCAGGAGGCTGAGGCAGGAGAATTGCTTGAACCTGGGAGGCAGAGGTTGTAGTGAGCTGAGATTGTGCCATTGCACTCCAGCCTGAGTGACAGTGTGAGCTCCATCTCAAAAAACACAAACCTATAGGAGTTAGTGCCCAGGACACGTGTCAGGGACACAGGCCAGGTGAACATTCTCACCCTGCCTGCCATTCTCACCCTCTGGGGTACATTTCTGGTGGTTTCCCTCGGTGGGAACCAGGCACAGGTGGGGTCTATCTGTGTCATTTAGGAAAACAAGCTGTGTGCCACATCCCAGCACATCCTGTTCTTCAGCCCACGAAGGGAGCTCTCAAAACACTGGTGGGATAAGGGTGTTGGCCGTGTGGATTCACTGTCCCAGCAAGGAGCTACCTTAGGGTCGAGGATGACTTCTGAGGATTAAGTGAAAAAAAGACTCAGGAGGAGGATCAGGCGTGGTCACCCAGAGGAAGGGCAGAGGATGCTGAATCCCAGTAGATTAATGCCTGCTCCTGGGCCATGCGCTGAGATGGCTTATCACGCCCTCGGGGGAGACCCTGACCCTCAACATGAAGCCCGACGGGCGTAGGGGAGCAGGCGGTGCAGGCACTGTTAAGAGAAAGATCCACTTGGCAAAGATTTTATGTAATTCAACTAATGAGGGGACCTGTAAGATGTTACAACCGCTTGAAAATCCCACACTTACGTAGGCAAACAAGTGCTGAGACAAACTGCAAAGAAATTCAAGACTGGCAAAAGGCCAAAATCCACCATCATCATCACATCCCACTGGGCACATTCAGGGTCCTGCAGTTTCCAGCAACAGCCAAGACCAAAGGCAGAGACCTGGACAGCTGCTTAGACTCCTTAGGTTGTGCAGTTTTTCCTTATGCCTGTTTCAGGGTCTCTCTCAGTTTTTCCTGAGAGCAGACTCTTCTGCCGAAAGCTTGGTGGGCAGGAGGGAGGGTTCCCACGAGGCCTCTTGGGGAGGGAAATACCAGAATGAGGCGTGACCCCGAGGGGCGGGCTGTAACCGACGAAGGCCGCCTGGTAGCTTCCTTGTCGGGGTGCAGGGGGCGAGCTGGGCCGCGGTTCCAGCCTCCGGGCTCAGCCTTCAGCTGGACCAGCCCACCCTCTCCGAAGGGCCGCCGGCCAGGCTGGGGCCTTCCCGTGGCGGGTGTGCTGGCAGCCCAGGCCTGAGCCCTGGATCTGCGCGCACTCGCCAGCCTGTTTTCCGTATTCCAGGCCTCAGGCCCGGGGACCCTCCAGCTCCCGGGCTGCGCCTCCCGCCGCCTTCGCTGTCTCAGCAGGTGGCGCCGCGTCCTTCCCGGGAGGGGGGCTGACACCCTGCAGTCACCCCCACCCCGCCCTCCGTGGCTGTTGCGCATCTTCTCCTGAACCCAGGGCTCTCGCCCCCTCCGCGGAGCCCCTCCCCGGCCCCCGGCCTCGCCCACCCCAGCCCCGGAGGTCTCCCCGCTGCCATCCTTGCCCGCTGG